AAAACATTGGTATTATATAATGTTTTGTTTCCTTACCGAAATATGACTTAAAAAAAAAAATATTATAGTAATAAATTGTATTTTTAATGTGTAAACGATTATTCTCATTTCAGTAGTATAAAATAAGGTTTTTTTTTTTATTATATTTTTTAAATTCCTAGTATTTTAAAGTGCCTCTTTGCCACTTTAAACGCTTAAAAAATAATGATAAAAGTATAGAAACATTTCCATATATTTTTTTTTACACCTGTAAATACAAAAATATAATAGTAATAATTTTGTAAACATTGTGCAAAACTTGACTACAACCATGTATATTAGGTACTTTGAAAATACAAATTTTTAAGCACAGACTTTTAAAAAAAAACATGTTATTAAAGGTTTTTTTCAGATAAACGCCGAAAAATGCGTCATTGAAGTTTTAGGTTTTTCGATTTTGAACGTAACCATAATTTCGGCGATCGGTTTGTAAAATTCCATACTTGTCGAGTCTCCATAAATTGAATTATGGAAAATCCGAGTATTGTCTTTTTATTGACATTTTACTACAGCGTGTCATTGTTATGTGCCAACCGCGTGGACACATTGAATGAGCTCTTTACGTATGGTTATTGGCAGACGAATGCAAACTGGAGTTACGATTTACGAATCATCGAGCGATGGATGGATACTGAAGAGCGTTTCAAAGTGAACGATTTGATTGAAATTAATCACAACATACACACAATAACCAATGAAAATGCAGAGTACAAAACACGACAAGCACAACAGTTTCTATGCTGTAAGTATGCTTTAGTGCTGAAAAAGTGTTACGATCTCGTAGCCGAGCTCACAGTCCAGTGCCAGAGATCTGATTTGGAACATTTAGTTTCAAATATATGTTTGGAAAGGCTAGTGTGGACAATCAGACAGAACGAGCAAATAGTATTGCGTATGCACGGCGCCTTATCGTTTTTTTACCAGTTATCCCCAACCACCGTGTTCAACAAAGACGTATCCGACATTTTAGAAGAATTATTGGCCTATTCCGAAATGATCCATGTTGATATACATGCTATCGAAAGAGACATTTCGAAAATTCTACGCCATCTTTGGGCGTTCTACATGAGTTTTTGTCGCCCAATCCGCTTTGAAGAAGACGAGTACGACGGTTCACATGAAAGGAAACAAGTTAAAAGGATGTTTAACTATTCTGAACAAACGGAACAATCTATGCTTGATGTAATGATTTGGGTGAAAGACATAAAAAATGGCTTTATAAAATCGTTCGAAAACGACTACGGCTTTTGTTTTGAACCGATATCAAACAATACTCGTCCAATAACGAACGACCCGGAGTCGGTAGAGCTGATGAACAGTCTTCTTAAAAATCCGGGATGGGCCGAGGTACATCCACTAGAAATTCAAATTCACCGAGAAGGTAAGACATCAGTGTCCGAGTTGCTCGAACTATATACCAAAAGTAATACAGTTAACAATAAAAATTTTGTCATTAAAATTCAAATGGCTCATCTTTTCTTGAGCTGTCACTATGCTCGGGTGCTGAAGGAGTGTTGTGAGTACGCGATACTCATATGGAATCAGCGTGAGCGAAAAAAATGGAAAAGTGGGATTAGGAAAATGTTTGGTTTTGGCGGTTCTGTGGAAATCCGTTTGGCACGATTCCGTACAATTATCGTGAAAAGCGATCCGTTGCTGTCGCTCATGAGACATGCACTGTCGTTTTTCTACGAACTGGCCCCGGAAATGAAATACAACAAGGAAGTTTTTAACATTGTAGAAAGTTTCAGAACCGTTTTCGTTGTTGGAAATAACACTCTGGATGTCGAAAAAGATATGTCAGAATTGTTGCGACGCTTGCGCGCGTTCTTCAATGCATTTTGTTGGCCAACACATTTGTTTGATTCCGTTTTAGGAGCAAGTTTAAACCGTACAACATATAATAACTACATAAAAAAGCGATTATTCATAAACAAAATCAATTATTTCATAGAAACAGCCTACGCAGAGCTTGGGTTTTTGTTCGTGTAATATTATATTTTTGGTTATTATTATAATTCTGTTTTTAAATATTTTATTCATTATTATATTTTTTGCTGTTACATCCTAATATTATACATACTTTATATAATTATAAATAGTTGTACTATTTTTGTATTATCTTTATTTGATTTTTTAATTATAAACGTTTTAACTTCACAATTTGACTCAACTAATTTATGTGTTACACAAATATAAAAATACACATTAATTTATCCAAATTTGTCATTTGTGGGTTGAGAAAATAAATTTATTTCAACTTTATTAAATGTTTTCATAACTCATTTTAAATATTTTAAGTATAATAGTGTTAAGAACCCCTTAATATCCTGTTAAGTATTATATTGTAATTTGTATACTGTATTGAGTATATTGCATCACCTGACTACTGTCGGCCGACTGGTTTAGCATGACACCTGACCAACGGTCCTCCACATCGTCCGGTACCCTTGATTCAGTCGTTAATTTGCGATGAAAGAATCAATAATGCAGAAGAAAATTTTAGACATTAGAATTATTTAAACATTTAGACACAGATATTGAAACTTTCTATGGTTTTTAATCCATTGAATAAGAGCAACAACTATAGGAGCTTAATTTTTAAAATACTACCTTCATATCTTATAATTTAAATTCCCAGACTACTCAAGAAAACCAATTCTACACGTATTGATATAAATAATAAAAAAATGTTATGGGATTAGATGTGTGTCAAAGATCTATACTATAAGTGAATTTAGAAACGAATTATATAATAGCTCTAGCTATGTTGAAAATGATCACAAGCATAACTTTTTATAGTAATTAACAGAATGTGATATTAAAAACTAATTTCAATTAAATATTTTCAGATAACCCGTTTTCTTTTTTCATATTACATATTTAATGATATTAGAATGAGTAATATCATATTACAATCAATTACATAATCTAATTATAATTATTTATGGCTTATACAGTATTCAAAGTGAAAACTTACTTCGAAAACCACTTTCAAAGGGTCAGATGACACAGATGTTTGTCTTTTACAAAATCCTTTTACCCTAGAGGCGCAATTTGTTCATATTTCTTAATTATTATTAGACATTAAATAAATATCCACTTTTAACCAACTTTTGACCTTATCATTAGGAAATTCAAAATTACACCTCACAGATTGAAAATCACATTTAATAATTGTGCTGGCCATTATAATTTAACGATGATTATACTGAAATAACTAGATATTATTCAATATTATTAGATTTATCGTTGGCTTCTTGCCACGAATTAGCCATTTTTTTTAATGGCACTATCTAGTGTAAAACATAATTTCCTTTCGATTTACAAGAGGTGTTCATAGTGAATTTTCCACTCTAAATGCTTTTTAATTAATAATTTCATATTTTAACTAACGGCTAATACCTATAAGAAATCGATAAATCAAAAACTCAATTAATGGTTTAGTGAGTTTTGGCTAAATTAAAATAACACATTTTTTATTGCTACAGGCCCGTAGCCTAACCGTATCAATGGTATTTAAAATTCATTATCGGTCCAATAGTGTTGAATGATGATGTTTTACAGTACACAATAATAGCTAGAATTCATTATCGGCATGGATTCTACCAATAATGATTTTCTACGATTAATACCACTAGAAATCATCGTTTTTCTATTTAGAAGAACTCATTAACGGCTAACATAAAACATTTAATGATATAAAAAACTGTGTTACGTTACATATTATTGAAAACCCCTATGTATTTGATTACAGTAATATATCAGTTTTATAAAAAAAAAAAAATTGTGAGTACCTGAAAAATTGAAAATCCTGTAGGGTTAAAACCGAAAATTCAATATTTGAAAAACTTTAAAGTCATTTTCTTAACAATCAACTTTTTGCCATTAATGAATTTTGGCAAACAAGGCGACAGTATTTACTTTTTAGCAATTTTTCCAGATATTATATGGTTATGCATTATATGAATACATGACCTAAACCTGACCTATCTGTGTATTTTATAAATTGATGAAATTATGGAAGATTTATATAAAGCAGAGAATTTTTGGTGCTACTAAGTAGAATGCGAGTTGTTTCTCCAGAGTGCATAATAAAAATACAAACAAAAATTAATTAATAAATGACCAATTACTGTATGCCCATGTGTATCCAACAGAACTTGCCTTAAAATTCGTTGATCCGATGTCCACTAAAGCACTTCCGTTTCAATCCGCTACACGGTGTCTATAATGTTTAATATTTGTCTTTAAATGCTTAGCAAGTAAGCTATGTAGTATAAATTTATAGTTTTTGAATTATATTTTATTTTTACTCTTCCTTCGTCAATTACAATTACAAGAATATTGTGCAGAATTGTACACTTGTGTGAATTACACCTTAGCAGCGTTATGAAAAAAAAAACAATAATTAATAATCTATATATTAATAATACATAAAATTATTGCAAATATATAATTTACTTCTTGTTATTATTTAGTCTCAAGAATAAATAATAGTCATCGTCAACGTTAATAGATATTTCGTTTATCTACTGCATAGATATAACAAGAACACGGCGAAGCACAAAAAGCCGTGTTTGATTATGAATTTATTGTAGAAAAGTAAACTTATATTTATTTCATTCTAACAAGATTAGGTAAATTGTATATTATGATTTTAAACCATTAATGGTGATTTGAATGCAAATCACCTGTTACTTGGACAATTTTACCTCTTAAACTATCATTGGCATTAACCATGTAATTTGAAAAATAGTTATCACACTTATTTAAAAAATATCAGACAATCTTAGTATTTATTATTACGTGTTAATTTATCTGTTTAAAAATCTATATAAGACCGGACAACTAAATTTTATGTATTATTAAGTTTTAAATGTTTTATAATTTTTAATTTTAATATATAATAGAATTAGAGAATAATATTTCAAATAAAACGGTTAAGGACAAATAGGTATTGAAGTATTGTTTAATAATTGAAGTATTCTTTTTCAAAAAAGATTGCAAAATTCAGCAAAAAAATTTTTTTTTTTTTTAAATTAGCTGTTAAACCTGGCTTTGCCTGGTTAGATATTTAATAGTATTTGTAAATATTATAGTAAAAAGTAAATCAACATTTAAAGGAAAGATTATAGTGGCTTACTGCGCTTTACCTGGAGTCAACTGTTACCGATAGACTACCGTGTACCGTGTAGTCTAACGGTGCACTACAAAGAACTTAATCAACATATTTGCGATAAGTGAAATTAAACTTTAATCAACTCGTGAGAGTATACTTAATATTTAACAGTAAATCAGTCAAGTCGAGTTATAAAACTAGGTAAATTTTTACCTATCATTTACCTTAAAAAAAAAAAAAAAGTTCATTATAATATATACATTTTTTTGAATTCTAACATCAACGACGTTGGCCCCAAGAACCGCCAGAAGAAGGCCCTCCACGTCCCATTGGTGGTCCACCACGGCCCATTGGTGGCCCACCACGTCCCCGGCCGCGACCAACTGAAACACAATATCATAATTCAGACAATGTACATAAGAGAAAAACTCAAAAAGCTGGTTATGTACCCGAAGATCGAATCATGCCGCTTTTGCCTCGGCCGGAAGCACCGGCCATGGTCGCTTTGCTTTTAAACATTGGCGCATTGCGCAGCATGTCGGGCAGTATTATGAAACGGACCTTCGAACCGCGAACGTAGCAGTTTTCCATTTGGGCGACGCGTCCGTCTCTGAACGTGACGTGCACGTGCGTTATCTAATCAGACACAAAGTAAGGTTTTTATCAAGCAGTTTTTCATCACTTGTTTAATGCTACCAAACGGTTCACCTACCTGCACGTTCATGTTGTCCTCGGCTTCGATCAGTTTTCCACGGTACACCTCACCGTCAACGGTTTCGCACGTTATTATGTGCCCTTCGGCCTCGTGAAGCACTTTGATCGGGACGCCTATACTCATTTTCGGAAATAAACTGCTGTAGATTTCGAGAAAAATAAAAACAGAAAGAGCACTTCAGTGTCTTTTCGTAGCCGACCGTGTTGTTGTCACAATGCGATATTACGATTGTACGCGGTTGCAGCGGCGGCGACGGCCCGGCAACGAATGTCATGGAAGAAAAACCGTTAACGGGGTCGCGGTACGGTGCGGCTGGTAACGCTACCTCCACTTTTTTGAGGTTAAGAAACCCTCACGTTTCGCGTCACCGTGATAAGCGATAAGACACAACGTATTACGTGTTGTTGTTTGTTAGCACAATGGCGAACGGCGATCACCTGCCGTTGTGGCTCTGACTCACGTCCGACCCTTACCGAACATAACTTCTTCATAATAATTATTTTAATGTACTTGTTTTTCGTGAAATATCGGAGTATCCATCAATCGTTAATTATTATTATTGTAAATCCCACGGTGGCCCGACACTTTGTTATGATATCCGCTGCGGATAAACCGACGGACACATGGAATTTCAAGCGAAAACTTTGTTAGTAAGTACACAACGCCAAATCATGCATGGCCTGACCTCGTTCACACGACGATAATGATGTCGTGTAGCATTAAGTGTCGTGATACCAGAGTAACAAAGCTTACTTACCACGGTGCCTCGACACTAGTGTCGCGTTATTGTAACTTTTGGTATGCGAAACCGCGTTCGTGTAATGGAAAAAGTCACGGCACTTGTGTCACCGTGTGAACGATGCTTAACGCGCCGCATTGACCTGATTCTTTAACTGAAGGTACTGTCCCTCATAATATTAAAGTATTAACAAAAATACATAACAAAATATAATTAAAACCCGTTTATTAAATTTAAACAGAAAAAAAGTCTAAAAAATATTTCTACATCTTTTTAATATTTTTTAAATACAAAAAATTGCAATTCTTAATAATTCATATTTTATCAACAACTCTTGAGATACCTAATGTCTCTTTTTATATAAATCATCATCATCACATGTAGCTTTTAACAGGCCATGAAGGCCCAACGCTGCCATCATGAGATGGTTCCTTGACGAATTCGGTATCCGGGACGGGTCGTCAGTCCATCGCCGACTATTTTTAATAACATTTATTTTTTACGAATATCTTTTTTTTAGTTTGATGGTGCAGCTACAAAACTACAGAGTGTATGATCTTCTATGGCGCGGAGCCATGAGAATTCAAATAGCCACTTTTTAAGTAGGTTGTTCACAATAATGACTTGTAGGAATTTATGTCAAACAACTATACAGAATTAAATTACAAATACATTTCTATTGTTTTATCTGGAAAAAAAAATTGACAGCATTAAAAATTTTACTAAGAAAAAAAATTATTAAAATAAAATCTTCTTGGCTTTATGACTCTCCAAGAGTCTTCGCCGCCACCGTCAAAGCGTTCCATTTTTCCCTATCCTGGATTATATCCTTCCAATCTTCTACGTCCAGTGTTCTTAAATCTTGACTTACCCCGTCGAACCATCACTTCCTTGGTCTACCCCTCGGTCTTTTCCCACTTGGTTGGTACTCTATAGCTGCCCTCACAGCCTTTGATTCATCCCTTCGCATAGCGTGTCCGAACCATTGCAATCGTTGTGCCTTTATGTAGTTGGTTACCTTCGGGCTTTGTGAAATTTCTTGGATTTCGGCGTTTGTCCTTCTTCGCCAGCACCTCAATTCATCATCATATATCGCACCGCAAATCCTTCTCAATACCTTATTCTCCAAGGAGAGATTGGTCGTTTCCCAATAATTCCATTACTTTGGTTTTTTCTTGATTTACTGTTAAGCCCACTGTTTTAGCTTTGTCAATTAATTTGACTGTATTATTCGCTACAGTTTCTTTGCTATTGCCAATTAGGTTTAAGTCATCAGCAAATCCTAACACATCCAACTTCGATGCACCGACCTCTAGCCCATATCCATTTTGTTGTACACTTCTTATCACCTTTTCTAGCGCTATATTGAATAACAAGGGAGAAAATGCATCTCCCTGTTTAAGACCTGTAATTACTTGAAACTCTTCGGATGCGGTTTGGTCTACCCTTACCTGGTACTTCGTACCTTCCATACACATTTTTGTTAATGCTATTAGTTTTGCTGGGAACCCAAATTCACTCATTATATTATACAAGCTCTCCCGGTGTATGCTATCGTAAGCTTTTTTAAAATCGACAAATACTTGCCATATTTTCTGTCGAAATTCATATTTCTTTTCTATAATTCGTCCGATTACTGACAGCTGGTCAATCGTTGATTTACCTTTCCGAAACCCATATTGGTAATCTCCGATGCACTCTTTTGCTATAGGTTGCAATCGCTTCAATAAAATCCTTGAAAACACCTTGTACACTGTATTTAGTAGGGCGATTCCTCTGTAGTTGTTACACTCTAATTTGTCTCCTTTCTTATGCAGTGGGATAATAATAGCTTTGTTCCAATCCTCCGGAAGTCTTTCTTCCTTCTATATGGTCAAGCACAGTTTGTGAATATTTTTATGCAGTACCTCGTCTCCGTATTTCAGTAGTTCGGCCGGAATACCATCAGTTCCAGTTTTTGATGCTATTAATTGCCATCTTGGTTTCATCTAAAGTAATTTCGCGTATCTCCGGTTCAATCCTTTGTTCTTCCCATCTAGGCACTAGGTTCTCTAGTTCTTCCCCATTAAGCAGCTCTTAAAAGTATTCCATCCACCTACCTACTTTTTTGTCAGGTTCCATCAATATCCTTCCATCTACACTCTTGACGGCTTTCAGCGTAGGATTATATTTTTTATACTTCCTAATTTTCGTCAAAAAGTTTCGCACCCTACCCTGCGAATAATCTTGTTCGGTACTACTAAGTAATTCATTCATATAATTCCTCTTTTCTCTTTGTAAGGTTCTTTTACTTAACCTGCGTTCTTGTTCAAAGAGTTCTTTTCGCTTCTGGTGTGTTTGACCTAAGATAACTTTGCCGGGCCTCCCCCCTTCTTGCTATTGCGCTTCTACTCTCTGCATTAAACCATTTCCTTGTTTGGCTTTTTGATATGTCCACTGTCTTTTTTGCTGCTTTAATAATTGCATCCCTAATTGACCCCCACTGACGTATATCACTTGGCTTATTTGCATTTAATTCTTTTTCTATTTCTTCAGTGTAGTTCTTCCTTTCTGCTTCACATTTTAGCTGCTCTACATTAAACTTGGGCACTTTGGTATCTTGTATTTGCATTCTTTGCAACTTGACTCGAAATTTTGCAATAACCAGAAAATGATCAGTCACAGTCGGCTCCTCTGTAACTCCTTACATCTGTTATGCTAGATCTAAACCTTTTGTCTATGAGGAGGTGGTCTATTTGATTTTTCGTCCGTCCATCTGGTGCACTCCAAGTCAGTTTATGTATTCTTTTATGGGGAAATGTGGTACTACTAATGATCATGTTCCTAGACGCCGCAAATGATATTAGTCTTCCTCCATTATCATTGCTTAGGTCATGAGCAATTTTTTGGTCCAATTGTTGGTACATAGTATGTTTCTTTCCCTATCTTAGCATTGGCATCCCCAATTATTATCTTAACAGTATTTCCAGGTGCATTGTCATGTATCCTTGTCAATTCGTCATAAAAGGACTCCTTAACGTCTTCTTCACTGTTTTCCGTTGGAGAATGTATGTTTATTATGAATAGATCCATGGGTGTCGTCTTCATTCTTACTGAACTAAACCGCTCAGATATTGGGTTAAATTCAGCTACCCGTGATTCATAGTCTTTGTGTATTGCAAAGCCAGCACCTAAGTGATGTCTACTTTCCATTCCCTTGTAATAAATTATGTACTTGCTGATGCTTATTTGTCCTGTGCACGTCCGTCGTATCTCCTGTAACGCTGCTATTGACACGTTGTACTTCTTTAAAACTTCGGTAAGATTTTGACATGCACCGGTACAATATAAACTTAGTATGTTCCAAGTCGCAATCCTTATATCTCCACATTTCCGTTTCCTATTTCCGTTTAGTTTTCCAGGGTCATCAATCCGTCTCCGAGGCTTCATTGGAGGTTTCAAAACAGGGTTTTTTTTACAATGTAATTAAAATAAAATGCATATTGTAAATATATTTTTGTGTTTTTCTAAAATTTTATATTTGGTAACAACTACAGACCAAGCACAATGGCTAACAAATAATAATAGTTTATGACTTATGTCCTAATACAAAGTATTTATAAATACAAGACTTTAAAATTTATAATAATTATTATTTTAGGTATCTTGTTCAATTCAAGTTTTATTTAATAGTAAAATAATATTTAAAACGCTCTTAACCATAAAATAATGCACTCCGCGTATTCATATTTCAGCAACAATGTTGTCATCTTCAGCGCTAAGGACAGACTGAGTTTAACTCAAGTCTGTTTTAGGCTCTGTTTTTAAAATTAACTATTTTAAAAATAATGGATTGATCTGTAGTTAAATGTCTTATAAATATTGCTTACACATATTTGAAAAACGTGCAATATTAGAAAAGTGTTTTTAAATTTTGTATTCAATATATTTTATGACATTTAATTTTTGACCAAAAAAATTATTATAAAATAATTCTTTTAATACTAAATATTTCTTAGATTTATAATTATTTTCTCAATTGAATTTCAACAACAATTCAAAAATTACAAAAAAAAAAGTCTCAGAAACACAAATTTGATGAAAATTATATCAAAACTCAAGTCTCAATTACATTTTTTTATAAATATGATTTTAATCCTTATTTCATAGAACATATTTTTATTAATAAGAATATTTTAAAAGCATTTTGTAACTAATATTAAATGTATGACGTTGAATTTGTGACCAAAAAATTACTATAAAATATTTTTTAAATACTAAACATAATAAAATAGATTATTAACAAATAATTTGTTTAGGTCGATGGTGCAGCTACAAAACTTATGCGCAGCCAGGAGAATTCCAACCGCCAAAGTAGCTGTTGCAATACGAGTAAAGTATGTTTGATATTACTATTTGTCAAAAACGACAAGTCTAAAATAACAGAAAAACATAAATTGTGCGTTTGCAGCATTAAATACGCTCTTGGCTTTTCTGTACAACATTTGTCAGATAAAAGCAATAGCTATTAACCCACGTTTTTTAATATCGTTGTCTATTACTTAAAAATTGTTATTATTAATTTTTTATATTTATATGTGTTTAAGCAAAACTTATATTTAAATCACGTTATTCACTTAGAAATAATAACTTACTAAGCTCTAGTGATTACGTATACTTACTTAAAAATGTAAATTATTTATTTTATTAATTATTATAATATGATATACAATGTGACAGTGTTAATATGATTGTTTAACAATTGAAATCAAATTTGTTTTATCTTTTATTTATAATTTTACCAACGTTTTAAATTCAAATTATTCATATTAAAATTAAAACAATTTAATCATTATGAAAATAAGAATATATTAAATTTGTAATCGCTATAAAAAAGTATTTTACTTGGCTTAATTTTTATTAATAAATTTAAGAACTATTTAAATACTTTTTTTGTCCGCCTTATAATTTTGATATTTCACTATTTTCTAATTTGAGTCATATTATTTTGCTGGTCTAATATACTTAATACATTGTTAAATTTTGTTACTGTTCATAATTTTTTTTTTTTTTTTTAATTTGCTTTTTAATAATATTTTAGCATAAAAACCATGTTTACTACTAAATAAGTTTTTACTAATATTATATTGAGTTGTATAATGTGTAACAAAATAGTTTTAAAACATTAATTTAAGTAAGTCATTATGGAATAGTGTGTTTTTTTATTCTTGTTATACCCATATGTTAATTATAAAATGGGTATAACAAGAATAGGAAAATTAATTATTCTCATTGGTCATTATTGAGATCCAATAATCTAGTTTTGTTGTTTTATGAAATTTGATGGAGAAAACGAAGATGTTCATGCAGCTGTAGAATACTATGATTTCAGCATAAGATTAAGTTGTTTCCAATGTTTCTTTTTAAAATCATAAAAATCATAAGGAAGTATTGGAAACGACTAGATGTTATGTCGATATAAAGTTATTATGATATAAATTAATTTTCCTATTTTTGTTATACCCTTGTGTAATTAATTTATGGGTACAACGGTATTAACGGTGGTCATCAATGAGGTTTAATAATCTAGTTTTGTTTTATGAAACTTGGTGGAGGAAACGGAGATGTTCTTGCAGTTGTAGAATACTATGCTTTCAGCATAAGTTCGATTTGTTTCCATTATTTCATTTCTAAATCATAGAAATCCAGATTTATTGGAAGTAACTAGATGTTATGTCGATAAGTAATTATTATGAGAAATGAATTTATCTATTCTTGATATACCCATGTTTCAATTATTCCATGGATATAACAAGAATAGGAAAATGCATTGATCTAAAGTTTTAAATTCTATTCCAATTTTTAATCGGATGAAATGATTAACATGTAGTTAAAAAAAGAAGATGCAACATAAAGTCTTTATATATTTTACATTATTTTAGTCATAATTATTTTTAAATGAAGGCCTTGTTATCGACGAAAATTACTTTTGGTCTAACATACTTTAATTTTGTTACTGATCACAATTGTTATTTTTGACATTTTCATGTCTTAGCTCTGGAACATTACCGAAAAAATTAACGTAAAAACTTGTCACAATCTGTTAAGAAATTGAAGATGGGGGTAGGGGATCGGGCAAGAGATGATAGGCGGGGGAGGGGGGATTAGCTATGGCACATAACCGAAAAAAAAACTACCAAAAAAGCGTTACGCTGTTATTTTAAATTATGTGTTGTATTTACAACGATAAAACTAGAACTAAATAATAAATTAAAAATAGTTTAAGGGGCCGAATTCTCTATGAATTGTTTAAGGCCAGATATTATGAAAACACAAAAATATTAGCCAAAAACTTGATATGCTTACTAGCCACCTTAGATACTAGCTTGATCTAAAACATTACTCTAAATTTACTTCAATGAGTCATGAAAATGATCTTTCGTGGTTGCAGACTCTGCTGAAAAACTTAAAAAAAAATTTTTTTACATGTATTCATTTTATTAAAATAGCAAAAATTTCTTTGGTTTATTAAACCTTTTTGTTTTTTATTACAATTTTAAAGTGTAACAAAATTTACGTATTGTAGTTACTCTTTAAGTTAAAACTAATTATATATTATAAGTAAAAAATATTTTAGCATACAAACCATGTTGACTACTAAATTAAATTTTACTAATATTATATTGAGTTGTATAATGTTTAACAAAATAGTATAAAAAAATTAATTTAAGCAAGTAATTATGGTTCGTTTGTAGATAGAACTATTAGAAACAACCAAATGTTATGTCGATATGTAGTTATTATGACATAAGTGCATTATTTTATTCTTGTTATACCCATGTGTACTTATATAATGGGTATAACAAGAATAGAAAAATGAATTGATCTCATTCGTCATTATTTCGGTCCAATAATCTAGTTCTATTTCTTATAATATCTATTAAGAGAAAATGGTGGTATTCTTGCAACTGTACAATACTATGATTTCAGCATAGGATCGATTCGTTTTCAAAATCAAAAAGAAGTATTGGAAACAACTAGATGTTATGTCGACATGCAATATTATGAGAAATGAATTTATCTATTCTTGATATACCCATGTTTCAATTATTCCATGGATATAACAAGAATAGGAAAATGCGTTGATCAGAAGTTTTTAAATTCTAGTCCAATTTCCAATGGGATGAAATGATTAACATGTATTTGAAAAAAGAAGATGCTACATTAAGTTTGTATTGTAATGTACAATATGTACATTACTTTAGTCATAATTATTTTTAAATGAAGGCGTTATCGAGGAAAATACAATTATACAATGACATCGAGGCAGATAAGCCATAAATCATTGCTTTTAATGATGTTACTCTAAAATATTATTTTTTGTTAATAAAATCTTTTGTACTACAACAAAATATACATTACAGTATTTGTTGATATTCCTTTTACATTAGTAATAACGCTGAAATATTATATTTATTAAGATATATTTTTGATAAAAAACGTTTTGTAGGTGGATGGTGGAGCTATAAATCTACAGTGTGTTTGCTTGTATAGGACTCAGTAAGAAGAATTACAATCGTCGGAAATGATGCTGCAAAGGATACTCATTATCTGAGTATATTTCTGGATTTATAGAAGCCTAGTTTTAAAGTATTCTATTCGTTTTTATTTATAATTTCTCTATAAACATGTACATTTACCAGAACCATGCTCGTTTAAGTTCACAGTTGGAAGTGCCAAAACATTTTGTCCGTTAAACTCATTTGCGTCATTAGTTATAAATAGAGAGCACAATTTTTTTTCGACCAAGTTTACAAAACTTAAAATTAGAAATAAAATATGCCGAATTTTTCAATCATAGTTTTATTTATTTTGCTTATCCAATTAAATAAGGATTTACTCTTTACATTTTATGGTCAAAAAACAAGATTCGCTAAACATTTTCAACCTTTTTTTTTTTATATATTTTTGATATCGATGAAATTTGTTGTGATTTTTATCAACCAATCTACAGTTTTATAAACAAATTCAAATTGGAAAAGAGCAAAATGTTTTTTATGTGCAATACATAAAAAAGAACGTTTTTTTTAATTATTGTTCGATTTACTTAATTTTGGCTTGTAAAACGTTTATTTTAAGTATTGTACTATTTCTAAACAATCTATTGTTATTTATTGAGTATTTTAAATACTTTTTTGTCATCCATTTAAAACAATTTTTAAAAGTTTTAGACATAAATGAACATGGGATCGTTACAACTTACAAGGTATGTTAGTTAATTTGTTGACGTTTTATTAACTTTTTAATTTCTGTGATAAAACTTCTTGTTTGCCGATAAAACTTTTAGTGTAACAAATTAAACTATTGTAAAAAATCTTTTTATAAATTTACTAGAACTCAACATTTATAATATTTTCTATCTAAGGTGTCTTATATAAGTTGTGTGGGTAACTCTTACTCATAACTTGTACATGTGGCACAGGCCTGTGTAGAATTTAATTGAAAATGTATTTATTGAAATTCCTACGTTGCCAAAAACATTAAAATATTTTATAAATATAATATTTAATAAAATATGTTTTTTTAAAAATAAATTATTTGTAGGTGAATGGTGCAGCTACAAATCTACAGTGTATTTGAAACTAAGACGTTTCTAGAATAATTTAACACAGCTGGGTAAATTACAATCGTCAGAAAATCTGCTGCTATGGATATCTACCAATTCGTTACAGAACCCCGTGTTCTTGGTATATTTCAACATTTATAAAAACGTAGTTTTAAATTGCCAATTAGATTTTAATATTGGTATATAATTTATCAACAGACTTGTAATTATTAAAACCATCAATATACTTTTTTTTAGTGCACAATTAGAAGTGCCAACACTTTTTGTGGGTGTTTATTTTTAATATTCAGCACAATATTTTTTTTGACTAAATTTACTAAATTGGTAGATTATTTACCTTATGTAATATTCGCATGAAATAATATGTTGGTACATTTAATTTAAAAAAATATGTGATTTTAAAGATATACCCCCATATTTACTCCCCGGCATTTGTGACCTGATGTCGGAATCCTAATTGTATGAGGGAACATTGTATTGTCATCCGAAATGAATGGCTGGGCCAAATTTCAGCCATCTACGACTTTGGGAAATGGGTCAAAATAATTTTTTAAGATTTCAAAAATATCCGTACAAGCTTACGTAATAGTGAGTTGTAGAAAAGCATGCAAAAAATAATGATACAGTTCAACCTTTTTTTTCTGGCTATTTTATAAACACTAGAATTTTAATCTACAAATGACTATACCTATTTATATAACTCGACATTTGAGTAATATTATGTTGTACCTAAAATATTTTTTAAACTTTTACTCATTAAAGTAATTTTATAGCATTAATTTGGATATTGTCATTTAAAATATTATGTTTTATTAATTAATTTACTATTTTAAATAAATGAGTGTAAAAATAACTAGTACAGTGGATCTACAAGAATTATTATTATTGTAAGTTATAAAAAAAGATAAAAATACTAATCACACATTATTGTAAAACCAATAGAATAACCTCGCAGATGAAGGTTTAAACAAAATTATATCTCAAATTCCCAAAATCTATTACACAATTATAGGCGGTTTCCCCCTGAATTTTCACCTGTGGGTGCCCTTGTCGCAGATCCGTATCAAAGCTAAAAAATTAATATTGAGAGTGATGTTTTAAAAAATGTTTAAATACAACATTGTCATGCAGAATAAAATAACGTTTTATAATATTATAAAAAATCATTCAGTTGGGTAGAATTTCTTAAAAATACATTTATAGTTATTATAATGTAGTCACGAAATTGTTTAATTTTAGAAACCGTAATCTTAGATTTGAAATTCTTATAGTCATAGGACAACAAAAGAAATGGAAGAATTTGAGATACGTACAAAAAAAATGTGTTACTAAATCTGGTCAGGCATCTATTAAATAAATTAAGAAATGCATATATGTTGGTATCTGAGACTTCTTGCGGCCCATGATGGAAAACAGAAGGTAAATATAAATATACTTTTATTTAAAATATATAAAATCTGTACAAGAAATTATTATATATAATAATGTATTATATATAAAACATTTTTAAATGGAAGGGAATTTTAACGAGGACGATTCTGAGGAGGATAAACAAGGAAAGGAACACACAATGGAAGGTAATTTTACTCATGTCAACGAAGAAATCGTTAATTTAAATCCCTATTATGAAGCAGAAGTAGGCAATAAGTTAAAACCAGCGCTGAAACGTCAAAAAAATAAAAATAAACTTTGAAGACGAATTGCTACATCTCTTAAAAGTCAAGACGAAAACTATCCTGATAGATGTTTTTAATGTCTCTTTTGCCTCAAATCAAATACATAAGCGAAGATAAAAAGCCGATGCTCTATGTTGAATACACTTTTTTTAATTTTTTTAGGAGAAATTAAAGCGTAGGCCAGTTGTATCTGTGAACTATTAATCCTAAGCTGTCAGAAGAATTGGACAACACTAGTGAACCGCTGACAACATACATCGTTAATAATTATGTACGAGTATTATGTTATATGTATTATAAGAATCAATTATTCATTAAAGAGGTTTAGACCAAAGTGTTAAACTTTCGGGAAATTTAAATTGAAAAAAATTATACGAATTATTTTTAATTCTCATGCACTAATCACTATACTTACTTAAATTTGTTTATACCAGTTATTCAAATATTTTTTTAACTAACAATAAAAGTTTTAATTGGACGAATTTAATTTTAGAATTTTTCATAAACAAATGAGTTACATACCTTTCTTCTCAAATAAAATTACTAAATAATAAACGGGATTGTGTGCAATACGAGTAATGTAAACCAAAACTACTTTACCAATATATTTTATTATGACTTAAAATGTATAAATATTCAATAGCAACTTTTCCCGACACAGTTTAATTTAATTTATGATTAAACGGTTCTGCTAAGAAAGTAAGTGTCCAGTTCTGCTTACTTAACGATTAAAGTTATTTAAGCTTGATTTGATTTCAAAGAGAATTTAGATCCCATGATACTTTCGTTGGATCTTTGTTTAAAGACATTCATAAGATGTCGAAATAAATCTTCCTATCTATAAAGAAGAACAACTAGGAACTAATGTTATCATATTAGGTAAACCCGGTATGACATCAGAACAACTTTGATCAGTTATTTTAACAACTCGATAAAATGTAATCATTGTGATGATATTATTAAAACCTTTAATTGTCACTTTATTTTAACAAAAAGACTGACAAAGAATATAAATTAGTGATTTTAGGTTAAAAGGTATATGTTTTCTGTTATTTGTTTATTATTTCTCTAAAATTTGGTATAGAGACCGAGCGTCATATCATTCAGAATTGTAACGACCTAAGTGCCACCGTTATTATAAATTATATTGTTTATCCAAATAGTAAATAAGTCAAACCTGTGATTTATTCTACTTTCGTCTTTCTGTATACATCAATTATTTATAAAAACTGTAAACAATAAAAGTATTAAATGTACTTCTGTCATTTTCATTGAACTCAATATAATATAAAAAAAATTATTTTCAATTGGTTCTTTGTTTGGATTAAAGGCGTCGAAGATAGGCCACAATAAACACATGTCATTGCCTAACCCATCGTCGTTAAGACATCTGTGGTCATACTGGCCACAAGCTGACAGCGGCAACAATAAGTAACAAATTATTTATATTTAAATCTTTTTAGGGAATGTATTAAAAATGTTTTTTGTGAAAATTCTAATTTTTTAATTTAAAATGTCTGGACCTTACAAAAAAAAACGTTCTACACGCCACTCCTACAGCTTTTTTTAGATCTTACTGTACCGAGGATTTCATTGACAGACCAGGAATCTAAAAACAAATTAGCTCTTATAATTAAATGGGGATGTGACGGAGCATCTGGACAAAGTGTTTACAAACAAACAGATCCTAATAATACTTTTGAAAATGATTCTAGTATTTTTATTATTAGTTTAGTTACAATAAAATTGTATGATTCAAATCTTGACAAAGTTAATTGGAAAAATGATCGTCCATCGTCGACACATTTTTTTCGTTCAATTAAATTTGAATTTGTTAATGAGACTACTAGTACTATAATCACTGAAATAAATAACATAGAATCCGAAATCAGCAACCTAGGTCCAAGCCTTTATCACACTATGGAAATAAAGTATACGTTAGTGATGACTATGGTAGATGGCAAAGTATACAACGCCATTACTAATACCAGCTCAGCTGCACGATGTTATAATTGTAATTGTAAACCAACTGAAATTAATGATTTAAATCTTGTAAAAAAAAAATTAATAAAATAGAATATTATAAATATGGATTATCTTCTTTGCATGCATTCTTAGATGTTATGAATGCTTGCTACATATTTCATATAGATTAGATTTCAAAAAATGGTCAGCAACTAATACTGAACAAAAATAATTTAAATTATCGAAAAGAAAAATAATAAATAACAACGCTTTAAAAACACCCTCGTCAATCACTGGTATAGCGTAAACGAGCTCACAAACAAAATGTATTGTCCTTTTATCCTATCAATCATATTCACGTACCTACCTACTTCCAATACAAGCTCCCGTATCCTCTTCCTTTTCCCAGTTTGTGCTTCTTACTACAATAAAATTCTGTTATAATTAAACTAATGCGTAGCTCCAGTGAGGATCCATTGTTGTCTTAAAACGCTAGTTTTAAAGGAGTAAGATTGAAATTTCATCATGGTTAATTAAGCAATTAAGTTTTCACGATGTACAAATTACCCTTTGTTCTGAGAATCGTTCCGTAATTATTATTGTGTCTTATACATTATATTTTTGTATTATTTGTAATTCGTTATTCAATTTTTCCTGGGATATTAAGTTGTATTTCTGTATTTAATGATTAATTTTATATTGTAGTCTTGATACCTACATTATGTTTCGTCAAATTTAAATGGTTTTTAGTTATTGGTCGATATTAATGTTTTTTTAAAAATAAACAAACAGTTTTCCGATGTTCCTTTTATTTAAAAAAAATGTAAAATTATACGGTCGTGTCCCTCATGAGCTTTTAATAATACTGTTCGTCAAACCGTATTAATGGATCTTCGTCCATGCAGTAACGTGTGCAGTGTTACCAAAAAAGAAGAAGTCGGTGAACCGTTGATCGGCGGCCTCGTGGTCGGCATCAGTAATGTAAGTTTCCATGTTTTCAAGGCCAACAGCACAGAAATTGTCAAGTCACATCGTGTGTCGCTGACAAACGTCTTGACCACTCGCGACGGATGGATCGAACAGGACCCGATAATGATTTTGAGAAGCGCCGAAGAGTGTATAGACAAGGCCATGGCGGCCGGAAAAGTATTGAATGGACGTGTCATGGCTGTTGGAATAGCCAACCAAAGGGGCACCGTCATGGCCTGGGACAAGACAACTGGCGAACCGCTCTCAAATGCCATCCTATCGTCGGACGTGAGGACAGCCCGTATGGTGTACGAATTCCTCAAAAAGAACGACAAATACAAGTTTCAAAAAACCAACGGACTTCCGGCGAGCTCGTGTTTTAGCGCTTTTAAAATCATGTGGCTTATGAGAAATGACCCTGCGGTGCAAATGGCGTGCGACCAACACCGCTGTCATTTTGGAACGATCGATTCATGGCTGACGTGGAATTTAACCGGTGGAAAGCAAGGTACAATTACCATATCAATTCCTGCACTGAGTGTATTATGTTTTCATGAAGCTGGACCAACCTAACCCCGGATAGACTCGTTCGGGCCAAAACACTCTCAGGCCTTGTATGACCGTACCCACGACACTGTTAATGCTACTTAAGTCGCATCCCCCCAAATTTGTCTAGGTCTAAACCCCGACGAATGCCATTTTTGTTCACTTTTAAAGTATTTTCACATCTGAAGGTTAGACGTCTGGACGCGAAGGAAAATTTTAGAGGGATTCTAGGAGAATTTTAGGGTAAAGGAAGGAATGAGTTAATAATGTATAGGATCAAAGGTACCTTAAGATATTTTTATGGTCCAATGGCTTTTCTTTTCTTACCTTGTTGGGACCAATGTGACTATGAAAGCCTCAGTATCCGCCAAACTATTCTCCATTACGTGGTAAGACTACCATATAAATGCCTTTGTACTTTATCGTTTGTCAACACTCACTGGGTATTCTCGTGTGCTCACCTTTAGCTTATGTTCATATCTAATAAAGCCATCCATGACTTAATCAGGACGTGCACAAGAGTCTTACAGAACTCCACAGTTACCACTTAAAATCTCTGTCATAGAAGTCCATGTCGAGGCCACTACTTTGTCAAACAAGTCATTTAATCAATCGTATTCTTCAATGTATTCAATTTACTAGAATATTCGTAGTACCTATTCCGGATTCAAGGACGTTTTCCAATCCGGATTAGTTAACCTGTTACGGATTTATGTAGATTTGGTAACCAGCACTAGTTGATACAACTGAGATGGCAAAAATCCTAATTTAACTCACCACACGATATTTTAAAATTATTATTTTATTATATAATTTTTATTTTAATATTATATTTATTATTATATTATGCTTAATGACATTTAATAAACCTAACGTTTCTTGTACGCAGGTGGAGTGTTCGTCACTGATACAACAAATGCAGCGTATACATTTTTAATGAACATCAACACATGTAACTGGGATCCGGCTCTGATAAAATATTTTGGTGTACCGTTAGACGCTCTTCCGGAGATCCGAAGTAGTTCTGAGATATATGGGCAAATAACTAGGGAATCTTTACTCAAGGTGCCTTTAGCGGGTATTATCGGCAACCGCCAAGCGTCTTTGCTTGGACACAAGTGTCATCGGCCTGGACACGCGAAAGCTGTTTGGGGTTCTAGTGGCTCCTTGATGGCGAACACAGGAGAAAACAAGATCTATTCAAAACACGGACTAATAACCACGATCGCATTTCATTTCGGTCACTCATCCAGACCGGTGTACGCGCTGGAAGGTCCCATCGCATCTATCGGAGAGGGTGCCCAATGGGTAAAGAAAATGTTTAACTCGAAAAGCTGCGAATGCACAGTACCCGGAAAAGCAGATAAAAATAAACAATACGTATACTTCGTTCCGGCATTAAGAGGTAAGTAAAGTATACAGATAATCCGGACGAAAAAACATAAACTAATTACATTTTTACATGCAACGTTTTTTTTCAAAAAGCGTTGTGTTAATCAAAAACAATAAAGCGTAACTATAATAAATTATAACTGCTTATTGACTGTTCATAGGATTATTTGCTCCTTATTGGCAGGAAGATGCCCGTTGTGTTATTGTCGGTCTTAACAGAGAAACCAAAAATGAAGACATTTACAGAGCGGCATTGGAATCCTCATGTTTTCAAACTAGAGATATCATCGACGCTCTAGACAAAGATCTTAAGATGCCCTTGAGGCATTTGAAAGTCGATGGAGGGCTTTCAAACGATTGTTACTTAATGCAATTCCAAGCGGACATATCGAACATGCAAGTTTCCGTAGCGTCATTTAAAGAGATAACAGCCCTGGGTGCCGCTATGGTAGCCGGTTATGCTTCCGGTGTGGAACTGTGGGATATAAGATGTATGCCGGAATTAAAGAGCAACACGTATACGCCAAAAATGAGCACCGAAGAACGTGAAAATCGATACATAGATTGGAAAAGATCCGTGGCCAGGACTTTTAATTGGATAGATCGTTCATCAGATTGGGACGGTTGCATGTATTGTTGGATTGGGGCTGGGACTATGTTAGCCTTTGGATTATTAGCTTTTTTGTTCATTCGAAGAAAACAATAGTTATTTGGCCCATATAGAAAGAAAATAATTCAATTTTGATATATTATATTTTAAATATTATAAAGGCAGATTTAATTTGTGGTTTAAATCGTCGGTAAATAGTAGCTGATCTTGTAGAGAGAATTTAAGTCGAGATTAGATATATTAAAGATAAAAATGAAACTCAACAAAAAAATACTTTTCCAGTAATTAAAATTTAAACTATTATATTTTTCAAATTGTCATTGTAATTGTCCTTCGTCACTCATAAAATAATTACATAATCGTATCAGAAAAACGATTTGTATTTCGATTTGTCGTTGCATTATCGATAACATCAAATTCTTCGAAGTCATTTATTGTGAAAGTGTCATAAAAATTAAATTCATCCCAATTACGCACACAATTGTGTCTACACAACAGCTTTCCATGATATCGACAGGAAAATCTACTTTCACTTTTCAAAGTCGACTTCACTATTTTCCCCTGTAAATATGTCGCAATCGAGATAAAGCTCAAACACATCTACAACACCTAAATCACCAATATTGAGACTTTCTATTACTAAATTTAAAAAAAAATTCTAGAAATACAGAAATGTTAAAAAGAAAAATGCGTTTGACTTACCTTGATAGTTGTAAGAAAAACTGTTTGAACGTACAATACTTCTCCAAAATCATTGCATACAAATAAACAGTCTACAATATCTAGATTAATAAAAAGTATTAGGAGTGTACAATAACCGAGTGAACTCTAAAGATATACCTAATAATTTTAACTACAACTCTAAATTTTCAAAAACCTTAGTAGGAATACAAATTGTACATAAAGCAAAAAAAAAGTGGCCACCACCAAAGCGTAAATTACCGTTATAACTTTTTAACTAAAGTCCGAGTAGGTACTTATTTATTTTTAAGAAAATAAACGAAAATAGTCTTGCGTAGCTAGTCTACTGTTAGAAAATAGGTTGAATACCCAAAATGTTTGTCCTGGTTCAATAAAAGACTTCTAGCAAATAAAATTAAAATGCAATGCAATGAGTAAAAAATATTGTACAATTATTTTTGATGAGAAGTCAATAAAAAGCGTCCTCGAGTACAACATATTGGAGGTTTTTAAGATTTTGAAGTGTTAGAAAGGAAGAATCTTATAGGGCAATACGTATTAGAGTTTGTGGTTCAAGGGATTTACTCTTCATGGAAATTATTTCAGTGTACTTGTTGGTTATTCGTCAACATAACAAGATGTAATCAAATTATGAATTCAAAATAAATTTAAATATTGAATGAAATGTTTAAGCTATTGTATGCGATCAAGGCACAAACAATCGGTTTCCGTTTTAAAATTTAGGAATGACTTAAATACATCATGTTTCTATATAGATGACAAAAAAATATATAGTATCTATGATGTACTACATTTATTTTAAAGTATTAGAAATAATTTCTTGACTGGACATTTTACATATGATGAGAGAACTGTGTTTTTTTCTGACAAAATTACAGATGTCCGTATCACTCCTACTAAACTATTAATTAGGGGACAGCAAATAGAAAAGGTTCAAAAGTATAAATATCTAGGTACATCGGTAAACGAGGACTGGGAACATGGGATGGAAATTAAATGCCGGATTGAGATGGCCAGAGTTGCATTTGTAAAAATGTCTAAGATACTTAAATGTCATGATTTTTCACTGGGCACTAAGATTAGAATATTAAGATGTTATATCTTTCCTATTTTATTATATGGTGCCGAAACATGGACATTAACTGAAACATTGAGTAAGAAAATTGAGGCACTGCAAATGTGGCTGTACCGCCGTATCCTAAATATCTCATAGACAGATCGAGTATCCAACATGTGCGTACTACAAAGAATGCAAAAGGAAAAAGAATTACTGAAGACTATAAAAACACGGAAATTAGAATACCTAGGTCACATAATGAGAAATAACCATAGATATGGACTGCTACAACTTATACTTCAAGGAAAAATAGAAGGCAAGAGAAGTGCTGGTAGACGAAGGATATCTTGGCTAAAAAATCTCCGGGACTGGTTTAGCACAACATCAATTTAACTATTTCGTTCATCGTTAGAAAGAGAAGCAATATTCAATATGATTTCCAACATCCGAAACGGATAGGAACTTCAAGAAGAAGAAGTATCACTCCTAATCCTTTTCAGAAAATACCTTGTAAATTAGCATACACATATTTTTAGTCATTCTGTAGCAGCATCAATGAAAACATATATTTTTACATGTGAATTTATTAAATTAAAACTGCTACAAAAACTCTGTATAATTTTTCGAAATTCTCAATAATCTATTTGATTGTCCAAATAGCAAATCATTATATGCGAAAACCTTATATAATTGTGCGTTGTCAAGTGCTTATCCTGGAACACTAGAAATTATTAATAAAGAAAAAATCTTGTTCACTAAACTTTAAAAATTAACACAAAAAAGCATCGATGCATGGTTTGGTACAAAATTCTATTTTGTCTATACATAGATCAACTAGAAAAAGGTTATACCTATTTACTAACAACAAGATTAAATCAAGACAACACAAAAAATTTGTTTGCACCTAATCGCCAAAAAGTGGGTATAATATAAACCCAACAAACCACTCGTTTAGAACAATATTAAGATTAAATTTAAAAATGAATTTGTGAAAATAATGCCGATGACCATCTTTTTATGTCGAGTAAAAACTGCAAAAGTAATGTTGCAGATGGTCTTGTGTAATTTATAGCGTCAGAAGGACTTCTTGAAACTAAAAGCACTTTAGAAAGTTCTATTATTTCTCAGCCATCATATCAAATTGGGAAACTATTTTCAAACTCAACATACCAAAACTGTTCAGATGCATAGTTTGATGTTTAGACTTTGCTAAGTTACTTACTTAAAAATTATGTTGATAAGTTCAATTATAAATTATGTCACTTTATTGACATTATGCTTTTGTAAACAGACATAAATGATCCCATACAAACATATATAATAAATAGAACTTAGGTACAATACAAAAACAAAGATAGGCAAATATTAACTAAACATACTACTGAGATCATAAGGTTCATTGCTGATGCCCAAACAATTATTTTATGAATATTTTATTGAACTGTCTATAGCAGGAACGCTTTTTATACCTGCGGAGTTATTTTATATTTACTGATTAGGTCTGTAAAAAAGTTTTAACACGTTGACTGCCGTACGGTCGCCGGCGGGCGTAGAGTGGTTTATCACTGTAATGCTGTCGATAAAATATCGTTGACCTTCGCGAACTGTACCATGTGTACCATCTCTTGAACTAATAGGTTTAAAAATACCGTTCCAAAACCCAAATATTTGTTATTGTCCGGACATTAATAATGTAAAATAATAATCGTGTGGTCGCCGGCGACCTCATGGCGTCAGTACCATTTACTTATCACTTTAGGTCGCCGGCGTACGTACTAACTTTTGTTCAGTGAATTTTTTGTAAAAATGAGTCATCGGCCGAAAAGATTAAAAACATCTGATGAAAGTAGTATAAGGCAACTGCTAGATGACTCAGATGATGATTTAAGTTCTTTCAGCGAGTTTGATGACGAAAATTATGTGCCTCGAAATTGTTCTGACGATACGTTAAGTAGTGGTAAGATTAAATTACTATAAAACATAGGTTTAAAATTCTAATTCTTTACTTCTTTTGTCATTAGACAACACAGATAATATTGATTTTGATGAAAATTCCGAAGAAGTTGTACGTCCATCTGGAAGTTCTCCTGAACAAACATGGAAAGACGTTACAGGTAACTACCAAAAACAATTTATATTCAATAAACAGCCTGGGTTAAAAGTTAACATTCCGAACAATTCAACAGTATGGCAATATTACAATTTATTTGTAACTGATAAAATCATTGATTTGATAGTCTTAGAAACCAATAGAAATGCAGAACAGGTCTTATCCAAATTAAGATTAACTAAATCTAGTAGACTTTCCAAGTGGGTTCCTTATTGAACAAGTCAATATTGAACAAACAATTTAAGACAATATTAAACAATAACAAAATCGATATACATATTACAAAGAAATACCCTATTTTTTTGTATATACGCCTGAGCGGTTTTCACCGTTTGAGGAAGTAACCAGGCACCTTGAAATTCATGACCATATTCATTACGCGACTCAGGCTTCGGTAACGAGGGTCGTGCAGGTACCGGTCGGCCATCGAGGCTGCTGTTGACAGGATGTATGATGTACGGTAGGCGGGCGTGATGCCGTCAAAAATGACGTAGACGTTGCCTAATTCGTTGGGCACGACGCTGTGGTTGAACATCTCTTGTTCGCACACGCCTAACGTGAACAGCGTAAACGCGTCCAACAGCATGCGGTTGCGAACTACGCTGTGCTTAGTACAGTCGACTAGGTGGAAATCCAAGTACGGAATGGCCTGACGCCACGCTTCGTCCGGATTTTCCGGCGAGTAAATACACGAGTCGTTGAAATACAGGGCCAACGTCTGTTGAAATTGTTCCGTATGCGGGATGGACGGCCAGTGTTCGGGCACGTGGTTTTCATTGAAATAGGCATCGTACCGCAAGTAGTGATTCGAGTACGAGTACTCTTGCGAGACGGCGTCCAGCGCATCGAACATGCGCTGTTGCTTTTTGTACAGGTGGCCGCTCATGGTGATAAACACAGGGTCGTGCAGTAGCCCGGTCATCTCGATAAACGACATGCACATGGCTGTCGCTTCCACCAATTTAAGCAAGTACTGTTCCGTTGTCAGGCCGACAGTTTCCCACACCTGGTTTATCAATACGACGAACATTTCAGTGGAACACACGGCCCGTAGCGCCACCTCTCGCGACAGACCCAGCTTACGGGCAACCTTATTGAACCTTTGTATCCTGGCACACAGCACGTCGACGTCCGTGGTGTGCTCGTTTAGGGCCACGAAATACGTGTTGCCCAACTCGTCGCTGAACTTTACCGGCAACACGTCTTTCGACGCCAGGCCATACACTT